AGTGGGGGACGGGGGGTGGGGGAGCATCTCTGGGGAGGATGGGGAGGAGGAAGAGGAGGGGTCCAGCTTGGAGGAGTGGACAGAGGAGGAGGAGGAGGAGGAGGAGGGGGACCCGGGCGGCGTGAGGGTGGGGACAGATGGGGGAACTCCCGGACCAGGTGACTGAGCAGGTGGCCGGGCCCGAGCCAGAGGCCCCTCCCGCAGCCTCCACGGCCACCTGGACGGAGAGACAGCTGCTCCCGAAGGACAGACGCAACCCATCGGGTCTCTCCCTTCCGGAGGCCGGATGTGGCCGCACTACCCCCCTTCCCCTCACATGAGGACCCAGGGGTCCAGGCCCCCAGTCCCTCCTCCCTCAGACCCAGGAGTCCAGGCCCCCAGCCTCCTCCCTCAGACCCAGGGGTCCAGGCCCCCAGCCTCCTCCTCCCTCAGCTCCCTCACCTCCTCTTCCTTCTGGCCTGATGGCGTCTCGTCTCCGTGGAGGAAGGCGCTGTTCCCCCTGAGGATCCGCGTCCGCACTGTGGGCCTCGCTGGATGTGGGGACCTGGACTTCCCGTGCGGTCGCTCCTCTCCTCTAAGACCTCGCCTGGCTCCCGCCGTCCACGGCACCAAACCTGGGCTTTCAGGACCCGACGCCACGGGGAACCTCAGCCTGCGCCCGCCTCTCCGTGTCCCTGGGCTCCGGACACTGAGAGAGCCACGGAGCACCTGTGGACCTGTATCTGTGCACGCACACACGTGCACGCATGCGCACGTGCACGCAGACGCAGGCGCACATGCACGCAGGAACTCATGTGCACGCACGCACGTGCACGCAGACGCAGGCGCACGTGCACGCAGACGCAGGAACTCACGTGCACGCGCACAGGGCTTCCTGTGTCCTCCCTGGGAGTCCGCCCAGACGCCCCCACCTGCGCCCTCTTGGGCCCCACGGACTGGATCGAGTGGTCGTGACTCCATGGTCCCCGGCTTCCTCTCAGGGGCTCCGACGGGGACTCGATCCCTTGTGTCTACGTCCTTTCAGCTTCCGCGCCCACCTTCCACCGCCCTGGTGGGGGCGGGTCTGCAGCGAGCAGTGCTGCCTCCGCCGGGGGCCACATCCCAGAGGCCGCCCGGGTCAGGCAGGGGGGCTGTGCTTCCTCCCGGGACTGTGTCCTGCGTGCTTTTTGCATTTTAACAGTGAATTCAGCCCGGCCGGTGTGGCTCAGTGGCTGAGCATCGACCTCTGAACCAGGAGGTCACGGTTCGATTCCCGGTCAAGGGCACAGGCCCGGGTTGTGGGCTCCATCCCCAGTGGGAGGACATGCAGGAGGCAGCCGATCCATGATTCTCTCTCATCATTGATGTTTCTCTCTCATTCTCCCTTCCTCTCTGAAATCAATAAAAATAGATTTTAAAAAAAAAGAGTGGGTTCACTCTGCACAGCAACCTGGTGTCCTGGGTTGACCCCTGGGGCAGAAGGGGGT